AGGCATGGAGGTTGCTTAGAGACTCGCCCACAGCCGAGAATCTTGTAAACTTTAAGAACGTGAAGTCGCAAGCAAGGAGGACGCGCCGACAGGCGAGAAGAGAAAGTTGGCACAAATTCGTATCGGGCATTAACTCATACACAGATGAGTCGAGAGTCTGGAGCATGGTTGGCAAGGTGGCAGGACGAGAAGCACATTCGCTTCCTCTAGTGAACACACAAGGGGAGAGTTTGGAAGACCAGGCAAACACTCTCGGAGCGCACTTTGAACAGGTCTCCAGCTCAACACACTATAGTGAAGCGTTCCGACGATACAAAACCGCAATAGAAAAACAGAGATTAGAGCGCAAGGCCAGAACACATGAGGCATACAACGAACCTTTCTGTTTTGCTGAACTGCAGGCCTCACTTGCCTGCTGCAATAAATCTGCCCCAGGCCCGGACCGTGTGGCATATGAAATGTTGAAACACCTGCCCACTGAAACCCAGAAAGCTCTCCTCTCTCTCTATAATGCGATATGGTCTTCTGGCGAGCTACCCTCAGCCTGGAAGGAAGCTATCATTATCCCAATTCTAAAACAAGGCAAGGACCCGGCCTCAGTTTCCAGGTACAGGCCAATAGCATTAACCAGCTGTATTTGCAAAGTCTTTGAAAAAATGATTAACAGGCGCCTGATGCACTTCCTTGAAATTAGTGGCCTACTTGACCCATACCAGTGTGGGTTTCGAGAGGCTCAGTCCACCACTGACCACCTTGTCCGTATCGAGGCACAAATTCGCGACGCTTTTGTTCATAAGCAATTTTTTCTTTCTGTGTTTCTCGATATGGAAAAGGCATATGACACTGCATGGCGCTTCGGCATATTGCGAGACCTGTCACATTTAGGTGTGCGGGGTAGAATGCTGACAGTTATCGAAAGCTACCTGTCCAACCGTACATTCCGTGTCCAAGTTGGCACTGTATTATCTCGAGTATTTGTCCAAGAAACAGGAGTGCCACAAGGAGGTGTATTGAGCTGTACACTTTTCATAGTTAAAATGAATTCCTTGCACCTGTCTCTCCCACGAAATATTTTTTACTGCATATATGTCGATGATGTGCAGATTGGTTACAAATCTTGCAACATCTCAATGTGCCAACGTCAAGTTCAACTAGGGTTGAACAAGGTATCTCAATGGGCAAACGAGAATGGTTTTATACTCAACGCGCAAAAGAGCACTTGTGTCTTGTTCAGCCGAAAGAGGGGCCTCCATCCTGACCTCGACATTGACCTGCATGGTCAACCTCTGTCAGTGAAGACCGAGCACAAGTTTCTCGGTCTCATATTAGACACTAAGCTAACTTTCATCCCACACATCAAGTATTTAAGGGACAGGTGCTTAAAAACAATGAACATTTTGAAAGTGTTGTCACACACTACATGGGGAAGTGACAGGAAATGTTTAATTAACTTATATAAAAGCCTCGTACGCACACGCCTAGATTACGGTGCTATAGTCTACCAGTCGGCAACACCATCAGCCTTGAAAATTCTCGACCCTGTCCACCATCTAGGCATTCGCCTCTCTACGGGTGCTTTCCGCACCGGCCCTGTGGAGAGCCTGTACGTGGATTCGAATGAATGGTCGCGCCACCTGCAAAGATGTTCCCTGTCCTTTTTGTACTTTTTGAAGGTGAAGGCAGACAAGAAACATCCTTCCCATTTCACAATTAATGATTTGTCTTGTTCTGGCTTGTTCGAGAACCGACCTTCGTTTAGGCAGCCCTACGCGCTGCGTGTAAGGAGCTTGGCCGAAGGAACAGGTGTGCCTCTTCTTGAACCCAGTTTGATGGCTCCTGCAACATATTTGCCACCGTGGCAGTGGCAGCTTATAGACTGTGATGTTTCTTTTGTTGATGTCACAAAGCACGCACCACTTGCACACATACGTACATACTTTTTAGAACTACAACATAAATACACATGCCCTGAGTTCTTTACTGATGAGTCAAAGTCAAACACTTCTGTGTCATATGCAGCAATAGGCCAATCCTTTTCTGAGGCCGGCGTTCTTCATCCTAATGCAAGCATTTTCACAGGAGAAGCTTACGCAATACTGGCGGTCGTAAAACACATTAAACAGATAAAATTACAAAAGGCGGTAATATACACAGATTCCCTAAGCGTGGTCAAAGCCCTTAAAACTCCTAAAAAACACAAGAACCCCATGCTGGTGTCACTCTACTCACTTCTGTGCACACTCTACGCATCAAAACAGCATGTCGTTGTCTGCTGGGTTCCAGGGCACCGTGAAATACAAGGGAACGTTTTGGCCGACAATCTGGCTGCTTGCGCCAATGTCACTACTGCCAATGCACCAACACCAGTCCCTGCACTTGACTTAAAACCTTTTATAAAACGAAAGCTCAGGGAGTATTGGCAGAGCATGTGGGATAAACAAACAGATAATAAACTCCATGCTATTAAGCCGCAACTAGGTTATTGGCCGCCACTATCAAAATCACGACACACGGAAGTAATACTAACAAGGCTTAGGACTGGACACACACATTCTACACATTCATTTCTTCTGTCTACCGGTGATCCACCATATTGTGAGAGATGTGGAGAGCCCCTTACGGTTCTCCACATTCTCGTCCAGTGCAATGAGCTAGATGCTGTAAGAAAAAAGCACTTTTTACTGCCCTACCGACAGCAGCTCCCTCTACACCCTGGGATGCTCATCGGTAGGGATCCGCTTTTTAAACTACAAACACTTTTTACATTTTTAAAAGAAGTGCAAAGCTTTCACCCGATATTTCGAGGTCATCCGTAGCCTGACCTCCATGGAGTGGTCGTGGCTGCGGTGACTATATCTTCATCATGGTTTTATTATCATGACATTTTGCCATCAGCTATCACCACACATATGTCACGCCACTGTCATGATTTTATTACTTTCATGTTTTAGCCCGCGTTAGAGCGAGGATTTTTAAGGCCCCTTTACAGCCACGCACCATATCATTGTTCATATCTGTAGTCAATTGAAATGGCGCTCTTTGGCCATCAATTGGCCCTTGCGCCACTAAAAACTACTCATCATCATCATCACTTCTTGGAACTTCAACACAAATACACACGTCCTGAGTTTTTTACAGATGCCTCTAAGTCTAACTCCTCCGTGTCCTACGCTGCTGTTGGCCCTTCCTTTTCGGATGCTGGCCCTCTACATCCAGGCACAAGTATCTTTACAGCAGAAGCTTACGCGATACTTGTGGCAGCTAAACACATCAAACAATCACAAATACAAAAAGCAGTAATTTATACTGACTCCCTCAGTGTGGTAACGGCTCTGAACAGTCTTAAAAAAACAAAAAAACCCTGTCCTCGTTTCACTTTACTCCATTTTATGCACCCTCTACACACTCAACAGACATGTTGTTGTGTGCTGGGTGCCAGGGCACCGTGAGATTCAAGGCAACGTGATGGCGGATCAGCTTGCTGCATCCGCCCACGAAAGCACCGCCATTACACCGACATCAATCCCGGCCCTTGATCTTAAGCCGTCTCTCAAACCAAAACTCAGGGACTACTGGCAGAGCAATTGGGATACACACACACAAAACAAACTACACGTTATCAAGCCACACCTTGGCCATTGGCCACCAGTATCAAAATCACGTCTAACAGAGGTAACACTAACAAGACTCAGGATAGGACACATATACACGACACACACACATCTTTTGTCCGGTGGTGATCCACCATTGTGTGATAAATGTGGTGAGGCATTAACAGTTCTTCACCTTTTAATTCAATGTACACATTTAGACACTCTAAGAAGACAACACTTCCCACTATCCTACCGACAACATATACCTTTACACCCTGCAAGGTTCGTCAGTAGGGAACCGCTTTTTAGTGACAAATCATTATTAGCGTTATTAAAGGAAACTCATAATTTTCATATCATATACCCGGGCATACCGTAGCACGACCTCTCTAGAGAGGTTTTTGCTGCGGTGGCTACACAGGAAAGCACTTGCCTCACGGCCCTTGCACGCAAGGGTACTAACGTATGAGGTACTTGTGCTAATGCCATACATGTCCACCATCGTTTTTCATTATCACCAACTTTTGTCACCTATTCACACCACACACACCTTTCACGGCATGGTCATGATTTTATTACTTGTATGTTTTTACCCGCTTTACTGCGAGGAATTTTATGGCCCTTATACAGCCGCTAATCACAACCATTGTCCACATTCCTGTCTCATGAACTGGCGCTCTTTCGCCATTAAATGGCCCTTGCGCCAAAAAACACCATATATCATTATCAAACTAAATTTCTCCAAAGGTGTGTTAACAAGCGGCATTTCCATAACTGTACGTAGCTAGAATCAGCAACTCAAGTGCTTTTGTCTTTTTAGTAATGAAAAATTATTCATAGATGGAAATTTTCATACATAGACAAAAGTAAAGCAGTGTAATAAATCTGGTTTTTGTTGTACATTTACAATTTTAGTTCCACGATTGTAAAAGGTTAACTACCTTTGTGAAAAATTACAATGCTCTACAGTTGTCAGATGTTAATAAAAATGTACATTGTAGAAAAATTGAACGTTCTAAACAAAATTGGAAACTAATATGGAGCTCTATTACTGCCGATCTTACAAAATGTGCATATATCCTTGGTATATCATACAAATTTTACCACTTCGGTACAGCCACTTCTGTACAGCCAAACATTGAAATTCGCTTCATAGGTCACCCTTCTTTAAGTCAGAGTAAACGTTTTATATCGTGATTCATCAAAATTTCGGAACATTTTTGCCTTTGCAATTTATTTACAAGATAGCATGTATCTTTTTTTTGATTGAGCCAAGCTGTGCAATTGCAATAAAATCTAGGCTTCATTAGTACTGCTAACATTAGGAAATTCAGAGCCAGAGATATTACAGTAGTTTGATTTCTTTTCTTGTTATGTATTCAGACAATGCTTTCACTTTTTGTCCAGGCCATGATGATAATCACTTCGTGCACAGCCACGATAGCCTTTCACATTGCGGTGAGCGTTTTGTGCCTAAATTATTGCTTTTGTATGGGAGGAATGAGATTGCTTGGTACTGCAAAGTATGATTTCTGGCGCATACGTGGGCAGAGTATTCACCTTTTTGTCACTGATGTAAATGTTTTCAGCAACAGCTCAGTGTTCTCAGTTTCTAGCTAATGAAGTGTTACTGTATAAAAATGATAGCAAAAGAGACAGAGCTTTATTCTATATTTGGCAAGTGTCCCAAATTTGTACCATTTCTTCCCATTGTACGGATGGCGGGAAGATTTTCCCGAAATCAAAATTTCTGAGCCTGATCTGGCCAACTTGAATACCTCCTTCCCAATCTGACCCGTCTAAACCAATCTAGGAGTCGTTAATGTAAACGTACAATAATATTGATAATATCTTGGTTGTTCGAACACATTACTGCGTCGCAACGGGTAATCTGATCATTGGTACCGAAACTGTCGAGCTATGGCTGAGAGCAGCATGCTGGATGCTTCAGAAATAAGTGCAAGGCCAGCAATACACGTCTAGCACTGCATCTATTACCACTGTTTATTACCAAATATTTCGTGCATGTGTTTCAGTTTGAAAACCGATATTGCTAGTTATTTTGTACCTAATTTCGGGTGAAACAAATAGTTTTGCTTATCCGTTAGATTTGTATAACCAAGAGCTATCTGTAGTTGGAAACCCTGCCTGCATTGCTTATAAGCCATTGTAAGACCACAAAACTTATGTTCGTACTTTCGAGGCAGTTCGGTACCCCCCTCCCTCTTTTTTGGATGTTTCTTTAAAGTGGGGGCAGGGAAAGGGCGAGGCAAAATAACGCCCCCCCCCCTCCACTTTCTGTTTTGGAAATCTCCCTTCTTTGAACTTGGCAGGGTTAGCCTATTTGTGTGAACACTAAGTCAAAAGGTATACTAACAACATGCAGAGGAATGACTATACCAGTGAAAAATAATAGAAATCTGCCAATAGCATTTAGCAGGTCATAACAATTGTTAGTTTTTCTTCTTAATTTACACCATTTGGAAGGGTTTGAAAACGATTTCTTCAATTAAGTTTAGACGTAGAAGTATGTGCTAAAGTGTATTTTTATTCAAGAAATGGAATCTGCCACAATGTGCATTGTTTTATTTTTAATCAATTTTGCAGACGAGCAGCAGCAGCCAGCAGCAGCAAAGCCACTCGCAAGCCAGGCAAGGGCGATGGCACCCACTGCACCCACTGACCTCTACCGTGTTTTTGATGGCCAGGTGACATTGCACAGGTATTATTCAGATTAGAATTAGTACAATCACTTCAAATATGGGTGGTATTAAAAGTTATTTCTCACTCCTCCCCTTTTCTTTGTGCTTGTTTAGTGAAAGATATAATTATGTTTCACAAATTGTCGTGGTTTCATTGCTGCACGCCAATGTGCACAGGTGACGGTAAATGTCAGAAAACTGCTTAAATAATGCTTACATTGCTACATATAGCATACAAGCAATGAACATTTCCTACTAAAGCTTGCTTTAGTGTACGCATGTTAGCTATTTGCATTCTACTGGTTCTGTAGCCCTTGACAGGCAGGTTTATGCTATAATGTTTTTTCCTGATTAACTTATTGGCTTATAGATGGATATATCTTCTAGAAATAACTGATATTTGGTTATTTTTATGTAGGTCAAAATTGGCCAAAACACATTCATGGCTTTAGAGAAATTGGAGCACATCATGCGGAACACGAGTGACGGGAAGTTCTGCCGGGAGCTCGCCCGGCACTTCTGGCTTACAGCTGAAGCTGCCAAATGCAGCTTGACAGGTCAGGCATGCCGGAGCCTATCTACAGGCATAATGAAGCTTCAGGCCACCCCTGAAAAAGTGGAGATGATGGAAGGTAAGCAACTTGCACATTATCGTAAGCATTATTGCGTTGCAATGCACGTTGTTTCGCTGTTTAACGTGAGCGGTACTGCAGGTTTGACGCCTGCTCATAGGCCTCCCAACCTCGCCCAAGAAACGCTGCGCCGCGCGCTTTTCGCTGCCTTTCTAGCAAAAACTAGTCGCTTAGTACCCCGCTCCCACCTTGTGCCTACACTCTCTCAGAACGTTCACGTGCTCTGCACACGCTCTTTTCCGGGTGCCCGGCACGTGCAGCTTCACCTGTGACTTGCTCTGAAGGTTTAAAAACATTTTCACAGTGTGAACATCACCAGAACCGAGAGCGATTCATTGACTACCTTTGCGGGACCAAGTAAGTCAAACACGATGTTGTGGCAACCACTGGGCACAAACCTGCGCAGCCTCTGTCTCGTCACTGATAAGCCCTGTGTGACACGGCCACTTGCCGCAACAAGCTTGGTCGCCACAATGTCTTTGAGGGAGTGCTATCTGCATGCCGATGGTGAACAGCCGCATTTATATGACTATAAAAGTAAGGTGACAGCACGAATCCTCTATGTATGTTAACTGGTAAAACACACATTTGCTGTGGCAGTCACGTCTTCTCGGAGCTGTTGGCATACCGCCACGACGCTTTTGCGTGCGCTTGTATTTAGCATTCGGACTTTGATTGCTTGAAGCGAAGTATGTCGCGTGGCGTTCAATTTCTTAGGCAGTCAGTGTGAAGAACAGAAACTTAAGTCTGCCCTGTTGAGTTGCTGGCACCATTGCAATGTGCAGTGTTCATTTTAACAAAAGTTTCGTTTTGTCGAGATTTTATTGGGTGTTAACTACGTCGTATCGTAAGTTCAATGCCATTTTGGACTTCTTGTGCCATAATGATCAGCACAAAAAAAAAAATACTTCATGCCCACGTCTACCGTGCGTGTTTCTTGCAGCGCATGTTTGATTTCGAATAATATGCATGCGTGATCACGCAATACGTTCACCAATTCGGATGTTGCTTCGGTTGTTTTGAAACCTCGCTTGGTCCATGGTATATAATACTCTCTAAGATTAAGCATGTTCTTGATCACGCCGAGACTCTCCCCTGATAACAGTGTGTAATTTAGCGATACAATCTAAAATTTTATAACCGCCTTGGTTTTTTTTAAACTCGTTTTCATAGCGGCAGGTGTATATCGCCCCCGGCTCAGGCGCATGCAAGGATATAACATTTTACGTGCCAAAACCATGGCGTCATTAAGAAGCACGCCAGCTAGATTAATTCTAGCCACCTGAGGCTTTTTTAACGTGCACCTAAATCTATTTGAAGTGTAAGGGGGGATGACGACAATGGTTAGAGGGTGCACACACACCGAGTGCCACTTCTGTTTACATTTAGTGTCGTCCCAACGTACGCTTAAAATATACAAAACCAACCCGCCCTGCCCGTCATTTTTACACCTAAACCTAAGCACAGTGTTGCCATGTTTCGCTCCCATGAAAATGCAGCTGGCCTAGGTGGGAAGTGAACTTATGACTTCGATCCTAACAGTGCAATACCTAAACTTGCTCGATGGGTGTTGCTTGCAAGACCTGTATGTATAAATCCTCAATGCAAACACACAGCATAAATCTGTTGACACTGAGCGGCGATGAGAAGTCTACAGCCGTCAGCTGAATAAAACACTTGCAAGGCTCAGGGTACGGTATTTCAACAGTGGTGTATTAAGCTAGCAAGCTGTGCCGCTTTTGCATTACAAATGGTTGTCTTGGAAAGCGGTGGCTAATCTCGAAATGTACAGTGGTTGTCTAATTGCTGTTGTAGCTTCAGTTTACAAATGCTCTGTTTTTATACGAGTCCGGCCATCACATTTCTTCCCGTGAATAGTTGGTAATACCGTGCACGACAAAAAATTCCTCAGAGTGACAAGACCGCGTAAGTATCGACGAACTGCCATAATCCACTCTTGACGCATTCGCTCCTCGCACTGCTTGCATATGAAACAGTAGAGCTTCATGGGAAGTTTTTAGCTCTGCGATATTTTTAAACTTTTGAGGCTGCTCACAGTGCAGCAGTAGTGTGTGCGTGCTTCCCAAGATGACGAAGGAGCGGTGCCCATAGGGTGCAAAATGAGAGATAAAAGCCCTGAGGAACACGTTTTTTGCGTGTGCAAGGGAAAAATCAAGCAAGCGCGGCCCCTCCAAGCGACTAGAGCTTTGCCCTCTCGCCGCTAGGACAGAGAACGGCACTGCGCAAGCTTCAGCCTGTCTACCTTATGAACACATCTCATTACAAAATCCAAATGTGTTGCTGAAAATGCAAGGTGGTTAAAATTTATCAACAGATTGCCACATTGATTATCCTCACATAAAAATGGTACCTTTTGTTACATTCGCAGTTTCGCGTGACAGCTTGAATCATTGGAATAAAGCTTTTACTTTTTCCTGGGCGGCCATCTGCCATTTTGGTAGGGGCTGGGATAACCGTCATCATTAAAATGAAAACCTTGGAGATCCAAAGTCATTTTACGACTTCTTCGGTAGGAGTAGGACACATGCGTCTTGGTATTATGAAAATGATGGATTGGGCTGAAGCAGACTTTTGTGCTCAGTGAGTGTGTTTGAATTGTGAAATAAATGTGACCTATGTTGAAGCAATTCAGCAAATTGCTGCAACATAGGTCACATCTAACTTTTCTGAACTGATGATGGCCACTTTAATACAATTCCTGTTTTGCTTTGCATCATCACGGAGAGTGATTGATTGCATGTATTGCACATGTTCTGCATAATCATGGATTTCATCACAATTCGTTTGCACATTGCGGTGAAGAAGGGTGCAGTTTCCGAGAAAATAGCACTGTCCATTTTGTCTTGGTTGGCTGGCACAAATAAGCTATTTTGTGTAAGTTTGAACTGCCTTAACACCTCGCACTGTTAGGCAAAATACCTTTCATGACACACCACTGAATGACACAGTTGTTTCCTACGAACAAAAAATGAATTGGAACTTTAAATACATTTCACTGAATGAAATTTAGATTAAGCTATCCTGCTGTAAAATTACAACATTTTTTAATATTGCTTTGACAAAATTAATTTAGGTAGAGTTCGTTGTGTTTTGATTAATTTGAGTCATGTATTTATAAGGTGGATTCACTGTATACATCTATTTCAGCAAAACAAGTAGCACAAGGGACATCACAGCTTTTCCTTCTTTCATTGATTATTTATAGTTCCTCTGAAATCCCTTTTTTATTTTGTGTACATGTCATTGTTCTGGCCTTTTTCAGGGTGCCTGAAGCAGTTTGTGGCAGCAAACAAACAGCCAGGAAAACCGGAGGACGTCCGCGTCAAAGCTGTGCGTCGCTACCTGCGTGGATTCTTTACGGAAGCCGGCAGGCAACGAAAGAGAATACGGAACACTACCAAAGAATGAGCCATCTTAATAAATGTACAGTTAATGAGCAAGCCTGTAAGCTTCTTATTGTTATATATAAATTAACCATGGTGCTTGTTGTTTGTCAAAACAAATTCAATGCAAAGTAAGTCAATTAAAAATGTTTTTGTTGTAAATTTTCTTTTTTCATAAACACTCATAGAGATTGGAAATGCACAACAATTTCTTTATGAACACTGATGGGAGACATCATGAACTCAATCATTTCCATCCAACACATACATTATATATGTGCATTCATTGCCTGCGGCTCGCCTGGCTACCTCACCCGCCATTCACCACCTCGCCCGCCATCCACACCTCTGACCCGCCATCCCACCCAGCATCTCTCATCCTACCCGGCAACCCGCTATCCCACCCAGCAACCCACTATCCCACCCAGCAACCCGTCATCCCACCCAGCATCCGCCATCCCACCCGGCAACCCGTCATCCCACCCAACATCCGCCATCCCACCCAGCACCTGCCATCCGCTATCACACCCGCCATCCACCCACTACATTAATCCACTATAACGGCGGATAATGGTTTCCACCATACCCACCATCCATTTTTTTCCAATAGTGTGTCCTTGAGGTTTTCAACAGACACTTCAGTGGCCTGAAATTCACGCACGAAATGCCAGTCGAAAATGAGATCGAGTTTCTGGGCCTACGGCTGAGTTTTGCCAAGGAGCACATCTGCTTCAAATACAATCCGCGATCGAAGAAAGGCTTTGTTGCCTTTTGATAGCGCACACTCGAAGTTGATTAAGAGGGACATTGTGTTGTCAGCTAGTGCAGCAGCCCTCGACAAGTCTTGCCCTCATCTGATGTTTGAAAGCTTCGAGAAGCAAGTAGCTCGTCCCCCGCAGGGGCGTCTGCATAAGTAGGCGTTTGGTGCGTAGCGACACCACGGACCCGAGCTAAAGGGGGAGTTTCGACTCCCTTCCACGCCTAGCCGTGCGTGGCTTTGCCGTGTCCGGGGAAAAGGGAATCCTGGGGTTGAGCCCACGCCAGGTGATAGGACCTTTAAGGCCCCCCAGCAGAGGCAACACACCCCTTTTGGCCCCGGCTTCACGTAGACGGCACCCCTGAGCTGACCCACCAAGGGGAATTCACCCACCCAGGGGAATTCGGCAGTCGCCTTTTCCTATCTCTCTCTCCCTACATCTTCGTCTTTATCTCTTACTATTTATCTGTCCGGTCTTCTACTCTCTTCTGTTACTTCCAAACTTCCTGGCAACTAGGGTTAACCCTGTGGAAATAGCCTACCTTGGTCTAGGTGCATTGGGTTATAGTAGCATTGTACGGCTGGCGTCTGCAGGTTTTAGCATCCGCAAACTTGTAGCGTCCCCTCGTTGGGCTCCGTGGTGGGTGGCCGCCAACGCTTCTGAAGAAAATAAACTGGCATGCATAGAGCGTTTTCCTTGTTAAGTGATCGTACCGCCTTAAAGCACGTACGCACCGATGACTTAGGCTTTTTCAATCAATTAAATAAAAACTTTCCCCATTTTCATGTTATACATAGTGACATAAGTGGCAAGCAAGCCAGAACTGTATCCCCTTTGTAGTAGCCAGGTGTCTCACAGAAACTCTTGGGGCCGGGTACAAAGTTACCAAAATGGCCAGTGGAGACCTCCTCCTTGAAGTTCGAGACAAAGAACAGTTTGAGAAGCTACAGAATCTTTCAACTTTTGGTGACACTTCAATCACTGTAACACCACACAGATCTATGAACACAACCCGTGGAGTGGTATCTGATGCTGATTTGCTCGGCTTGACCGAAGAGGAACTTCTGGAGGGGTGGAAGAACGTGACCAATGTACAAAGGATCATCATCAGAAGAGACAACAAGGTAACACCAACAAAACACCTAATACTCACGTTCTCTTCCAGTAATTTGCCAGAAAGTATTCAAACAGGGTACACGAAGACGTCGATCAGACCATACACACCTAACAAACGTCATTGTTTTAAATGTCAGAGGTATGGCCACGGCTCACAAAGCTGTCGTGGTCACCAAACTTGTGCACAATGTGGAGTGTCAGGCTACAATTCTGACAACCTGCGAAGAACCATCACACTGTGTGAACTGTGGCGGAAATCATGCCGCATACTCACGGTCTTGTTCATTTTGGAAAAAAGAAAAGGAAATCATCGCATTGAAAATTAAAGAAAATATCACATTCAAAGAAGCAAGACGTAGAGTGTTGCCATTTTACGGCGCATCATATGCTGATGCGGTGCAGCAGGGGGCAACGCTGCACCAGCCCTTGCCACTCCTTCGGCCGGCGCAGAGCGAGCCATTGGCTGTGGCGCATGCCCCCAAGGCGGCAGTAGTTCAGTCTACCCAGCCTCCAAGCAAACTGAGGCCAGAGACTCCAGGGTCCTCTGGTCTCAAGGCCTCACCTCACCAGGCGAGGGCTGAAATCCGAACCACCAGCTCGCATGTGCGGGCATCCAGTGCCTCTGAGGAGGCAATAGATACAACAGTAACCCTTGGTGCCGAAAGAGCGGCGCGGCTCCTTGGAGCGCGTCAAGGAAAAATAAAACCAATAACGGGGCCGGATGACCATCCTGGCACCTGAATTAACACGTTCACTCCAACACAGGATACTCTCTATACACACAGCAGCATCTCTTCTTTTAATATGCAGACAGAAATATTACAGTGGAACATCCGAGGCCTTCTTCGAAACCTTCGATGACTTACAAGAACTCCTCCATGAATACAATCCTAGAGTGGTGTGCGTACAAGAGACACACCTAAAAAGAACAAACACAAACTTTTTACGTAACTACGTAATCTTCCGAAAGCATAGAGATAATGCCATGCCACCATCCGGTGGTGTAGCGGTTATAGTTACTCAAGTTATAGCATGCACACAATCACCCCTCAAACTTCCCTCGAGGCTGTGGCTGTCCGAGCAGTTATTCTAAACAAACTTGTCACTGTGTGCTCTTTGTACATACCTCCGCACCACCATCTTGAAAAACTTCAATTCCAGTCTTGAATAGACGAACTACCTGAACCTTATCTGGTCCTTAGGGATCTGAACACACATAATGGTCTGTGGGATAACTCACTGTGATGCACGAGCTCGTCTCATTGAACAATTTCTCTTTTCATCAGGTGCTTGTCTGTTGAATAGGAAAGAGGCAACATACTATAACCTTGCCAACAAAACTTACTCTTTCATAGATCTTAGTATCGCATCCTCTTCACTTGTACCATTACTTCAGTGGAAAGTCATAAATAATCCATATGGAAGTGACCATTTTTCTTTAGTTTAGAGTACACCAATATTATATGAATGTCCTGCACATGTTCCCAAATGGCTGGTAAACAAAGCCGACTGGGAACAATTTCAGAAGATTACTCACTTGAGTTGGACTGACATATGCGGATTAGGCATAGATGAAGCTGTGCAGTACTTCACGGCTTTTCTTACTGACACAGCAGCCAAGTGCATTCCACGAACATCTGGACTGCCCGGAAACTACACGTCCCGTGGTGGAACACTGAGTGTCAGAATGCGCGAAAGGAACAGAACAGAGCATGGAGGTTGCTGCGGAACTCGCCGACAGTAGAAAACCTTGAGGGCTTTAAGAAAATAAAATGTCGAGGCAGGAGAACGCGTCGGCAGGCCAGAAGAGAAAGCTGGCACAAGCTTTTATCAGGGATAAGTTCTTATACACAAGAGGCTAAAGTCTGGAACATGGTTCGTAGGGTAGCAGGAAGACAAGTACACTCACTCCCACTCGTAAACACACAGGGTGACAGCCTGGAAGATCAGGCGAACTTTCTCAGTGCACACTAAGAGCAAGTGTCTAGCTCGTCACACTATACTGAAGCTTTCCAAAGATATAAAGCAAGGATAGAAAAGCAGAAACTAAAATACAAGCGAACAAATCACGAGGCATACAACTAACCTTTCAACTTAGCTGAGCTACAAACATCACTAAACTCTAGCGGTAATTCTGCACCAGGCTACGACCGTGTGACGTATGAAATGTTGAAAAACCTGCTGCTCAAAACGCGAAAAACTTTACTCTCTCTATACAATGCTATCTGGCTTTCCTGGCACCATCCCTGCTTTCTGGAAAGAGGCTACTGTTATCCCTATTTTGAAACAGGGCAAGGATCCTTTTCTCAGTTTCAAGTTATGGGCCCATTGCACTAACCAGCTGCCTTTGTAAACTTTTTGAAAAAATGATAAACCGCCGACTTTTACATTTCCTTGAAACACACAATCTGCTTGACCAGTTCCTGTGTGGGTTTCCAGAGAGTAGATCCATCATCGACCATCTGGTGCGTATCGAGACACAGATTCGAGACGCTTTCGTCCACAAACAATACTTCCTCTCAGTGTTTCTCGATACCGAGAAGTCTTACGACACAACATGGCATTTTGGCGTATTAAGAGACTTGTCTCACCTGTGTTTGCGTGGTAGATTGCTTTTCATAATCGAGAGTTACTTGTTCAATCAGAAATTCCGTGTCTGATTGGGCAGTATTCTCTCCCAAACATTTGTTCAAGAAAAGGGAGTACCACAAGGTGGTGTACTTAGTTGTACACTTTTTATTATCAAAATGAATTCCTTGCACCTGTCCATCCCCCGCAACATGTTCTATTCCACACATGTCGATGACGTCCAGCTTGGCTTTAAGTCATGCAACCTAGCAATGCGTGAGCGGCAGGTTCAGTTAGGTTTAAACAAGGTCTCCAAATGGGCAGAGAAAAACGGATTCCGGCTGAACCCAGAAAAAAGCACGTGTGTCTTGTTCTCCCGAAAGAGAGGCATGCACTCAAAACCCGACATTGAACTGAACGGCCAACGTCTGTCTGTGATTGCGGAGCATAAATTCCTAAGCTTAATCTTGGACAACAAGTTGACCTTCGTACCACACATAAAGTATTTAAAAACAAAATGTTTAAAAGCCATGTATGTTATAAAAGTGTTGTCACCTAGTATGTGGGGTAGTTACAGGAAATGCCTCATGAACCTGTATAGAAGCCTCATTCGCACCCGCTTAGATTATGGGGCCATTGTTTATCAGTCTGCGACTCGAAGTGCTTTGAAGATGGTGGATCCCGTGCACCATTTGGGCATCCGCCTTTCTTCGGGTGCTT